GATTCCAGTCATACATTGTTAGAAAATTGAAATGGCTTTTGTTATTATCATTGTAGAAGTGGAAGCACAGACTATTGAAGAGCTAAAACAACAGAAGTCTTTTGTTAAGCTTCAAAAGAAACACTACAAGGAAATGAAGGACCTTGTAAAGAGGCACCACAAGAAAACCACCGACCTTATCAAAGAGCACACTGCAAAGTATAATGAAATCCAAAATGACTACTTGCGGCGAAGAGCAGTTTTGGAAAAAACAGCAAAAAGAGACAGTAAGAAAAGGTATGTTGAACACAGCTCTCCTGATCTTGGTATTGGAGATATTTGCTCAAGTCTTCTTTTACAGGAGACAAATAATAGGGAGGTGAGTGACATTAGAGCACAGAGAAAAATCAAAAGCAGCAAGATTCCTAAGTAATGGGGATGAGAGCATTGTTTCCAAATTAGAGCCCTGCAAAAAATCAAGCTAGAGAAGGCATCAGATGCAGAATTATGTGAAAGAAACACCCAAAGGTTATTAACATCTGGCTACTTTTTTAATCCTGGTTGATCCAGACCACTTGGGGATCTCTTATTGACTACTGCTTGGCTTTGCCTCTGCATGCACACCCGTTCTGTCCTCTCTCTCTTTCCAAGCCTTGCATCACCGTTTCTTGTGTGTGTTGATACAATTTTTATCCTATTTGTTTAGGTAATAATAAAAAAAGGAGAGTTGTATATACCATTCTCAGTTTGAAATGCGAAGACTGCAATGGCATGCTAATCTTTCCACAATTATTGCTTTGTTCTTGCAGTAAGGAACTATACATTAATAAAGATCAATCCTTAGCTCCTGGGAGAACATATACACACATAGATCCAATCAATGTCTGATACTCTTGCAATTGAATCGTTATTTCTCCCATTAGTGCATCGTTCTCATTTTAACATCATTTGTTTCTCAAAGTCATTAGATAAACACAAAAGTCCTTCAACTTTTCCATGAAATTGATGTAGCTGCAGTTCTTAAATATGAAGACATTAAATTAAAAAAATACAGATACATTTTGGAGGAGATCATCAGAGAAAAAAAGCTGCAAGCATACTCTGGCTGCCAACCTTGTTGATAGCACCTCTAAATGTAAGTGACTGGGATTCAGGCCATAACTTGTCCCTAGGCAGGAGCTTATTTGTTTCTGCTTGCCTGATGACAGAATGTCATTGGGCTTAATAAGAGCTTGACACTCGTAATATATCTATGTTCAGCTGGCCTTAACTGTTGCCAGTTTTCAGGCTTTCAGGTTCTATACTTGAGTTTAACAAACTCCCTTAACGACTGGTTGTCAGCTGCATGCACAGACATTTTATCAGCTGTATGTTCCACCATCAAAGTGTCTGACAGATATATAGCAGAGAAAATGATGTCATGTTTCTTTCTTTTCTCTAGCATATTCTATTCACACTTAAGTAGAAAATCAAACTGAATAAATAAAATTACTCATTTATGGTTGAGCAAAAAGGATTTTGTTTTTTATTGTGTTATGATCTGACCATAAATCATTCATGATACCAGGCAGTAAAACCCTGCAGTCTCTGATGTAGAGCTGTCACAGTGGTTTCAGAGATGTGAAGTTTTATGTGCAGATACAGAAAAATCTAAATGTTAAAAGACGGGAGGTTAAATTTAAAAAAAGGCAGGAATGTATTTTTAGGGATGGAATTTTCAAACTTGCAAGTGCAATTATCTCAAGCAGCAGACTTCTAATAGAATCTTCATCCCAAGGAAAAAGGCTGGTTTTATAATTTAAAATTATTACTGAAGCTATTTTCCTGTAACTGCAAAGTATAAATCCCTCCTTCATCAGGAGTCTCTGTAACAGATAGCCATAAAAATGTGTTGACTCTGCTCAGCAGCAATCTGTGTTTCATGCCCTTGTCTCATATTGAGCCGAGATTCAGTCAAGTCATTGTCTGTTCCTGTTGTCTATAGGAAGTTTGAAATACTTATTTATACACATACACAAGTGTTTAGTTTGTGTCGTTCTGAAGCTTCTGTAATGATCATGTCCCTTAAAAAACAGTATTCAGCCAGTGTTTAGAAACAGGCCTTAATTCTTTTCCCCAAAAAATACAAGAGAAATGTCAGCTCTAAAACATACTGTGTAATGGCATAATATGCTGACTGTAATATTCATTAACACTGTCTTCTGGCTCTAATATTTAAATTGCCCTCACCTATCACACTGACCCCACTTAACCTCTTAGCAGAATATTCAAATGCAATAAAATAAAAAAGCAAGAAATAAAAGGAGGCTACCTTGGGATTCGTATCCTCAGACCGATGAAAGCAGCTTCACTTTATTTCAGCTGAAGTAACTCTAACTGACAGCAGCTGCACACTTGAACCTGGTAGAGAGAAGAGGCAGCCAGTGTAGCACGTTCTCTGCATTGTAGTCTCTGCACATTTCTCAGTAGCAAACTCATTTTTCTCACAGTGTCAGCCCTCTCTATTCAAGGTTTTGTTGCTTTGTCCATCTCATGCTCTGTTCTGACGTTTCCTAGGCAACTGATTTAACACCTGAGTACAGCAGTAAACACAGCAGCAGAGCAGGGACTCGGCATAATTTAATTTTGTAATACCTGTTTCTTGAGTTTAGTTTAGGGCTGGCCTAAGAGTGATACTGGTTTTGCTGCTTATTTTTTCCTTGTGCAGTTTAGTGTCATCATGTCTTCTTTCAGTTACATCTATCCTTCCTTCTGTCTTAAGAAAGAATAAAATAAACCCAAACTGTTCCTTAGTGTTGCTTTTTAGCTTCCTTATTATGTTTTTCCTTTGCTTCTATATGTTGCCTATCTGAGGTTTACTCCCCACTGGGCTATTAACTTTCTTTCTAAAGTCAACAGTCCACAGAGCCCTTTCCTCTGTGTGTGCTATGCATGGCATTTCCTGAAGGGGGAAGAACATACCAAATAAAGGGATGTTCCTACCATTTTAAGCATTTTATAAATGCAGATGTAAATTTAGGCTCTTAAATTTATTGCTAAGTGCAAGCAAGGATGACTCGGCTTCCAAAATACTTAACATTCACCATTTCTGCTGAAGACTGTGCAGCTTTGAAGTTCAAGTTACATGTCTGGAAGTGGATAAACAAGTTCCATGAGCATCTGTTTATGGGAAATCTTGGCAGTTGCCTTTATTGCTCATTTATACTAAGCCTGGTTGACACCACCATGGTAGGTTATTAAGATGAGGTTTCAAAGTAACAGTCATCCCATTAATAAACTGTTAATATGATTTTTTCCCCCAAAAGATTAAACTATTGGACTTACTAGAGCTAAAATCACCTATCTTCTTGCCCTATTTGTGGTGTTGAGAAACTTATTTATGGGCTGCTTATAAACATCTGCCTTAAAAACAAGGTTGAAATATGTGGCATAGTGTACATGCTTTGTGACTGAGACCACAGTGTGTGTCTTTGCAGATCTGACACAGGCAGCCCAGACCACAGTTCCTCAACTATTGAACAGGAGTTAGCTGCACTGGACTCTGAAATGACCCAGAAGCTGGTGGAGCTGAAGGAGAAGCAACAACAGCAGCTGCTAAATCTCAGGCAGGAGCAGTATTACAGTGAAAAGTACCAGAAACGAGAGCACATTAAGCTGGTACGTTTGTTATGTTGTCTGCCTTTCCTTAGCGAGTTCATGAGGAGGAATAAAAGCAGCATGACTCCATAATTAAGTGGGCCTTCCTCTTCCCTGGAGTCCCTTTCAGAGCTTGAGTTCTCTGTGGTCTGCTGCAACCTGAAGGGGTTCTTGTGTCACTTTGTCACTAACACTTCTAACAGCTTGAAAGACTTTGGATGGGAGGCAGAAAGGCAACAGGACTATTACTAACTCTAGTTACATAAGTGCCAGTTTACTGCAGCATTTGGATGATGTTCCTGTTTTGTTCTGCCACTTTTTTAAACATACAACACTCAAGGAGGCAGGGTTAGCTGGAAAACAAATTTAAACACCATGAAAATAAATAAATGAAGATAGATTCAAACATTCCCCCGGACAGAGAGTTGTGCAAGTCATGTTCCTGGTGCAAATTAATGCTTTAAGGGGATGCAGGACATAATCTGTATATGATGAAGTATTTTGTGTCCATTAGTCCAAGTCAGGGTTTTTTTACAGCTGGAGTTTGGCTGACAACTACAGCAGGGTCATAGGCCCTCTGAGCTGAAATAGAGGAGCTTGGGCAGGTGGCAGCTGATGATGGTGGATGTTCTTAGGCAGAAAAGAACACTTTTAGAGGGTGTTATGGGAATGCAAACTATTTCTCAACTCCAGACAATCCTCTCTCACCATTTTTTCTGTTATGTGGTGTTTTGCCTCATTACAGTTGAGTGAAGTGATTTGTCTACTCTGCCCTGACATCCAAACAGAGCAGGTCAGAGGAGTGGTATGTGTGGATATCACTCAGCAAGGCCTCTGCACAAATTCAAGTAACAGTTGGTGGCTGCATCTCAGAGATTTTAAGTTTTACAAAAATGAACCATTTTGGACCCACATAGTTGGGCTTATATTGGAAGCTAGCTCATTTCTCATTCCAAAATGGGGAATGGCATTTCTCAAAGCAGAGTTACATTTTTTGCATTATCCAGTTATTTAGTGTCTGGATAAATTCATTTTTTAGCACAGAACTTTCAGACAGTTTTCCCTCTGAGCTGTGCAGGATTTAATATTCCAATTAAAATTTTCCTTACAGCTGAGAGATTCTTTCTGATGTCTTTCTTTTAGAGCAGAGCCTATTGTGAGTACCTTTCTGCTTTTATCTAAGGAATGAGAAGTTGGATCAGACCAGCTAGGCATTATTAGACGTTCCTGATCCATCACCTGGGAGGGAGGGTTATTGTACAGAATCAGACTTAAACTAGGGGGGGGGTGATCAAAGCAAATTGGTCCCATTTCCCATCTGGATTCACTGTTCACTGAACTAGCACACAAGCTCTGTCCATGTGTCCTCTCCCATCAGCATCCCCACCATAGGCATGGATGGGTTTTGTTGGCAGTTTCAGCACAAATGAGATCAAACCTAGTGCTGTACAGCAAAGTTCAAACCAATGACTCAGATCTTTTTTAATCCATGGTTCTGTAATTAAAATGTAGGTTGTGCTTATCTATGCTTAGCTTTAATAGCTGTCATGCTTGAATTTTCAAGAGCCACCTGACCATCCTGAAATCCAAGCCAGTCCTTGTAATAATGCTCAATGCAAGAGGAATGTTTTCAGCCCTTGCAGAAAACCTTCAATGTTCAGTGACACACGAATTCAGTTTGTAATTAGTATTTTGTAAATTCAGTTTGTGACCATTTATTAATTATCATAGGCCTTTGAATTCCTAGCGAAAGTAAAATCTGCAAAACATGTTTTGATTTTACGTTCAATATTGTGAAACTATCACCTTGATGTACAGAGAAGTAGTAGTTGGTGTGTAAGTTGGACATGCACCAGTCTGGCTGAAGGTTAATAATGTGTTTACACTGATAAGAATGTTTACTACCTTTTGATCACTGTAGTTAATCTGGGAATGGTGTAACACTGTCATGGCTGCTACATACTTTTGAGGAAATTTAGATGCCTGTTTAGCTGAAAATACATATTTTTGTCTCTGGGGATTTTTTTAGCTTATTCAGAAGCTGACAGATGTAGCAGAAGAGTGTCAGAACACCCAACTAAAGAAACTGAAAGAAACATGTGAAAAGTAAGTGCTGTTCCCCTTATCTTTGATTGCTACTCCTTGTGGGGTTTGTTTAGGTGCATTCTGAGCTTGCCTTTATTTTTTATACTTTAGAGAAAAGAAAGAATTGAAGAAAAAAATGGACAAGAAGAGGCAGGAGAAGATCACAGAAGCAAAGTCCAAGGATAAAAATCAAATGGAAGAGTAAGTACATCCCTAGATCCATATCCTTGTACATTATGAGGAGACAAGATATTTCACAACCAGTAATTCAAAGAAAGGTCTTGACCCCACGTACAAGGCAGCTTTTGGTCAGGCCTCACCACAGCAGGGGAGTCTTTGCTTCTGCTGATACTAACTTCATTTCCTGGGACTAATCTAATCTCCTGCTCTGCGAGCATGGAGAGCCTGAGCCTCGGTCAGCAGCAGAGATGCTGCTGTGTGGTGTGGGGACATGCCTGGGAGCAGCGAGGCAGAGCAATTCCCCAAGATGCTGTTAATCCAGACACTGTTCCTCTGAGTATAAATGGACTTACTGGCTTCAGTTCCTGCAGGGTTTGATTTCACCTTAACTTAGGTTTTTATTTGTGAATTATCTTTTCTTCTTAACTCTGTTAAAGTTGCTCTGAAAAAGAAATAGCAACAGCATCCTGGAAGGTTTACTCTACTTCTGTGATAAATTCCTCTCAGGTACTGTGCTGCTGATTCTCCAGTGACAGTGTCGCTTTGGGTGGGACAGAGGGGAAAGCTGAGCTCTGAGGGTGCCAGTGTCTGTGAACAGGGACAGGAATATTAATTTCATTTATGCACCACCAGACAATACAAACTGCAGTTGTGCAAGTTGAGTATATTCCTCCCAAGGGCACAGTATCTAGGTTTGTTTGTCCTTCATTTGTTTTGGCAAGCAGCTCAAAAAGAAAATGGAGCATTTTAATCTTGCACTGTTATTCTTGTTACCGGTTTTACTTTAGTAACATTTAAGGGCAGTTAAAAGTACAGGAGGAACAAACAAGCAAACAAATGAAAAGAAAAATCTAGAATGTCTGAGTTTTACTATGGAACAAAGACACAACTGTGTTTAGTTTTCTACAGGTAAAAAGGTTCATACAGGTTTTGGACCCTCTCATCAGAGAATCTCTGTATTTGGTAACACTGAAAGGAGGTCTCACACTTTACAAATCAATACTATAGAATTTTAATAAACATCCTAGAAAAAAGATAGCAAAATTATAGTAATTGATTATGAAGAGGAATAAATGCTTGACATGGTTAGAGCTGGTCAGAGGGCACAGAATTCATATTACAAAAAAGTAGTTAGCCATTGCAAAAATATTATAGCAGTAGAAATCAATTGCAGTAGGAAATGATGTGCTGAGAGGTGAATGAGACACTAATGAGAAAGGCTCAGAAACTGACAAATAGCAATTCTTTTGTTTTCCTTTATTTTTCTCATTTTTTCCTAAGGGCTTTTCTTTGCCAGACTTTTCAAAAGAGCCCTTGGGAAAGGTGAGATGGGAACTACATGGGGAGCTCAGCTTTCCTCTGCCTGTGACACAGTTTGTCCTCATGCTGGTAGTAGGGCAGAGAGTAGCAAGACCTTCTGGTGAATCCCATTTGAGTCTAGGCCCTTGTTTACCTAAAGCTTTTACACAAATTTGGGAAATAATATTACAGGGATAATACACTGTATTATTTGTTCTTTCTTAATTTCTCTATATCCACTCAGGGCATGTGTAACTACCTAAAACCATCTGATTTTAGTGCCACCTGAACAACAATTCACTGATCTTGACTGAGGCAATTAGATTTTAGAGTACTTTCCTGAAACTGGCAGCTAAAGTATCCACAAATTTTTGTTTTATGTGCATTTGTCCCTTTGGGGGATTTTGTCTTCAGCCTTTGACCAATGCTTACCAAATAACTGTCTCAGAGAGTCACATAAAGTTACAGCTACTTCCTCCAAGATCATCTCTATGTAGGGGCCAAAGTCATGTCTGCCCTGCTCTCTGTGTGGCCTTTGTCCCTGAGATGTCACCAGCAGTATCTGCTCTGACAGAGGCTGTTTCCCTGCTCCGTATGTGCCACACTGTGGCAGTGTGTATCTGCTAATGGTAGTGAGCACTCCCAGACTGACACTTGGGCCTTAGGGAATACTACCTTCACTTGGAATGTAAGACATGACATTACCCTGTGGGAAAAGCCTCTTGTGGAAGAGCAGCAAGGAGGGTTGTTGTGTGGGCCATGAGGAGTCTGAGTCCTTCATACAGCCTGTTACAAGGGCACAGTCAGGAGGTGCATAAAGGTTCATTGGGCAGATCCCTACATTTAAACACAGTCTCACTTAGTTCACAAGGAGTTGTGGGGGGTGAAAATATATTGGTGTGATCCTATTGACTGCAATAACTTGTTGATTGCTCTTCCCCAGAGAGAAGACGGAAATGATCCGGTCGTATATCCAGGAGGTGGTGCAGTACATAAAGAGGGTATGTCAGACCATGTTTGTTTTTCATTTGGGTGGGATAAAATGTCAGTTTTCATCTTGTAGGTGATATTAAACTGCAGATTCTAAGCTTAGGTATAAAGGTTCTGCAAGTGCTGATCTTTAACAGATGCAGTGTAGACTTTCTTCCCATTCCAGTCAAAGGAAAACTGGAATTTCAGGCAGATTCCCGTTAATTGTTGCTCAGCATTAGGGGATGGTGCTGAGAGAAGCAGATTTGAATATAATTTCATCTTTGCATATCCTGTGTATAGTCACAGAAAGTATCCCAGTTTTTTTAATCGGTTTGCTGTCTCTTTAAATGCAAAGATTGCATAAGGAACTCTGAAAGTCAGTGAACATTTAGTTGTAGAGTATATTTTAACTTTGATTGCATTTGTACAGTTACTGAAATATCCAAAGCATTCTGTGAGCTCTGTAAATACAAAGAATTTGATTACAGGTGTTAGCTTTCTGAAGCTGTGGGTGGTTTACACTGGGCTGAAAATGTGCACCGCAGTGTTTTGATGTGTGGCACACATGCCACTGTTGAATCTTCTCTTAATTTTAGTGCAGAGACAGTTCAGTTCAAAACTTGGCCCATTTTTGATCACAAAGGCCTTGACTTAGGAAGCACCCTAAAGAATTAACAAATTAAGTATGCTAAATTCCTGTTGGAGTCAGAGATGTCTGTGTGTTTTTTTAAATGAGGCCCAAAATTTATCAGCATGTTCATTTAGGACTCTTCAGATGCAAATCCTCTTCTTCTGGGAACAAGGTCCATCTCTTAAGGCTTATACAAGAAAAGCTAAAGCAGAATGACATGAGTTTTAAAAATACCTTATATTTCTAATAGTATTAGAAGTCTACAATAAGTCCTTTAATCAAAGTCCTATCTAATTCTAAATCCCATGTGTGAAATCTGAGATGCATTGTGCACAGCCAGCTGTCAGAGCAGTTGTGCTCAGGGATGCTTGTGGTAGTGGTGTGTAAGTTTATATTGGAATTATTCATAATTTTGATGATAATTTTCTAAATTTGATGGATGAAATGTTTGTTGGGGAAGAGGTGGGAAACTGAGGATGTGCAATGTCTGACAAAAGATTCTTGGCTATTTTCTTACAGCTAGAAGATGCTCAGAGTAAAAGACAGGAGAAACTTGTAGAAAAACATAAGGAGATTCGTCAGCAAATACTGGATGAAAAGCCTAAGGTAAAGAGTTTTTGAAGATATGTTATACTGCTAAAATTGTCCTTCAGGAAAGAAAGTGTTCTTGCAGCAGGTAGGCTGATGTTTAAACATGAGAGAATCCATTCATAGCATCAAAGCCATTGTCACTACTATTCTGGGTAAATAATGTCAAGTAGCAGCCTAGTGTGGAGCACCATTTCAGGGCCAGATGTCACATAATGGGGTTTGGTTTTTAGTACTCATATTGTTAAAAAGTTTTCCGTGTAAAAGGTGCTGCTGACCAGCAGAGTGTGCCCTTCCCTCTGTGCTTTAGCAGTACAAAACCAAAACACAGTTTACATTGAAAAGAAAAAGAGATATCTTCTTAGCATGCTTGCCCACAGGTGCTTGTGATCATTGATCAGGATGTATTTTTGTAGAAAACAATGAGCTTTTTCATAATAATAGTGTTTAATATTCTGCATTCCATGCTGGATTTCCTCTATTTGATTTTATTCACTGCATCTACATATTCTGAAATCTGTGTTTTAATCTTTAAGACTGCGGGCTGACTCTGGCTCCTGGCAAAGCTGGTAGCAGTTTTGCCATTGACTGCAGGGGAGAAGTTTCAGTCTGCCACTTGTACACAGTTTTCCTGTAGGAAGATCTAGGTAACTATGTAATCAGACTTATCCATACCAAGGGAGACTTGTTTTCAGCAGAGTTCATATCCAAGGATAAGTCTTCACAGCCCATTGTGTCATGTCTGCTTCCATTTTTTCTGCACTGTGTGTCCTAGGCTTCACTTCTCATTTCTTGTCTGCGTCCACAGTCCTAATGTTTTCGTGCCTGAATTCTAGCCCTGGGTGTGAGCTAATCAGTGTTGTCGTGTCATTTCTGTGAAATATAATTAGGCTCAGATCTGAATAGTTAGAAGTTTACAATAGCTTGGAAAAAATAAAAATGTTTGCATTTCCAATTTTCTATTCATCTTTTTAAAATCATGTTCATAAATAAGCTGGAACTTTTCGATGTTGTGGGCATCTGGGGGTAAAGACTATACATAATATTGTTTTATGTTTGGTGCTGTAGAATCCTAAGCTTCTCGGGCATGTGAACTGGAATTTAAATACTGGAATTTAAAATGTCAAAGAATAATCTGCTAGTACTTCTAACAAGTTTTTCCCAAATACTTGGGCACTTGGTTGCTTCTCTTTGTCTGTGTCCTTTCTTATTTTTTTTCTTGATTTTTTTTCCTTAATTTATTGATTTACTGTGAAGCAGCATAAAGCACTGAAAATTTGTCACTAAGGATTTGAGCTACATTTTAAAAGATTGTGCTGGCCCAGTAGTGTTAGATTCTTCCATCAGTTGTCCATGTGCCCAGCATTAGGTCATGGCAGAGAGCAGCTCCAGATCCCTGGCTTCCCCTCATCTGGGCACCAGTGCAAATGCTGCAGTAATCAGCACTCCTCACTCCACTTCTCCTGAGCCAACCCTCTGCAGTAATGTGCCTCACAGGGTTTGGCTGCAGCATTTTTTTTTCACTTTCCCACATACTGAAATGGGCACTTTGCTGAATTTATGATGGTATGTGCCTCATGCTTGCATGAGAGGATTTAAGGAAAACATAATTACTCATTTTATTAAGTCTCTTTTTATGTTTTGCTTCATGTTCATATTTCATCTCCATATTTGCTTCCTTAGTGACAGGGCTTATGATATAAAATAGATCAAATGATTTCCCAGCTGAGAAGAGCTGATGTATTTTATGCAAGCAGCAGCCTTTCTGGGGGCTGCTTTTTAACAGCCCAATCTCTCCTGCTTCAGTATTCAAACACCCACTAAAATTTATGCTAGCTGTGGTAAAAGAGTTTTCTGGCAGTATCAACTCAACCCCAGACAGAGTTTAATATATTAAGAGGGAAATAATTTTTAATATTCTTACCAATAATTCCATTGGAGACTGATTTGCCATCATTAGTCACTGTCGTTTGGTTATTTATTACTGACTCACAGTTTGTTATGTTCTGACTTTGTGCACAGAGCTGTGTCATAGCCAGGGAGAATATTGTGTCACAGAGTGCTGCCAACAGGCTGCCACACCACTCACAGTTTGTTGGCTTTTTTTAAAGTAGCAGATTACAGCTTCCTCTGTTGTGATGTGTATAGGTCACCAGAAGAAAATTTGCCCTAGAGTGCTGACATATTAGACAACAGCTTTTAGAAACTGCACAAACTGGATGCACATTAGTTCCTTGCATTGGAGGTAGACTTGTTTTTTGTTTAAAATATCATGTGTTTAGATGAAAGTACTTAACTCAGGACTGATTTACACCCTTAAACTCTGCCTCTCCCTCATATATATCATTTCTTTTTAATGTTTGGACGTGAGACTGTTTTGCGGCTTTCCTTTGCAGGACTATTGTATAACAAAAAGCTTTTTTCCTCCTATAAGAGTTGGAGACTTTACTTCCTGAGCTGGTACTTTCAGGCAAAAGGTTGGAAGCAGTTCTTCAGCTTCTTGTGGCCCTGCTGAAGTCAGGGCAGGCATTGACTTTAGTGAACCCAAAATGTCATACCGTGTCTGTGTAAGCAATAACAATATATTTATGACAAACTAAATTTCTGATGCTGCAGAAGCCAGAAATTGAATGTTAGAATCCAGTCTGTGTATGGAACCAGACTAGCCATTCCCACACACTTGTTTGGAAAAGGAGACTGTCACCTAGTTAAGAAGTCAAATGCTGACTGACTCATGTAAAAATGCTCTAACTTGGCATTTTAAGTGAAATCATGTGGGAAACAAAGTTCTAATGCTCTCCTGTTGCTTTTTCCTAACAGCATCATCACCAAGCAAGGCCACATATGTATTTCTCTCACTCCTTGTTTTTTCTTACATTATCCCCTGGCAGCTTTATTATCAGCAACAGCTTGTATATTTTTTTCTGCCCCATTCTGCCTTTTTGTCTCCACCTCTTAGTCACTGATACACATTAAGCTTGTCCTGTCCTTATCTTCTTCCCCTCGGGCATCTTTCCTGCATGCTGTGGAGGCTGCTGTAGGAAGACAGCTCTTTACACCACAGCACTGAATTCTGTACATAGAGCAGGGTGTGATTTCAGATCCTCCACTACAGTATGCATCTGGCACACATTACCCAACCACAGAGGAGTGCATCAGATATAGACATGGTCATTGCATCTCAATTTCTCTGTCCTTGACAGCTTGTGCATCAAATTAAACGTAAATCAAGTGCATTTCCCTCCCCCTGTGCCCTCGCCTCCAATTTCATTGTAATTACAAAAATCAATACACGTGAGACATGACAAGGAATTAATTATTTTCCTGAGAATCGACTCAGTTACAGTAAATAGACCCAAACCTCCTCTAATTGAAATCAATGAGACTTTTGGTTTTCATGCTCATGGGTCAGAGCCACACTTAAATCTCAATATTGTATCTGAGACTCTTGCATTCAGCTCCTGCTCCCAGCCAACTTAACTGGATTCTTTTGGCTTCAGTGGACCATATTCTAACAGCCACAGCTGTCAAGGAAGATGTAACTCATCTGGTTCCTTGTTTTGTAGCCCATGTTCATGTTTCTGCTCACGGCTACTCTGCTGCTCACAACCCCAGCACAGCCAAGCCCTGCCAGATGGTCTGTGCTTCTGGAGAGAAGTGGGAAATGGCACTATTCAGGGTGAGGCTTTGTCTGTGGGAGAAGGTCCAACAGCTCTACAGAGGCACCATGAGCTGTGCAAACTTTGCTCTAAGTGTTGCATCTCTGTGGTCTTTCAAATGAGTGAAGAGAATATAGCCTTAAGGTATAAAATCCCTTTTTCTCCTCAAAAAGTATAATGAAAACAAGTTTTAAAATTATCAGTCAGTTCTTGATAATGGCAAACAAAAGCATCCAGAAAATACTAACTCACTTTATACATTTACACCTCCCTATTTGGCACGTTATTAATTGCACCCCATGGGAGTTGACACTTCTGCATCCAATCCATCCATCCATTAATATTAGCAATGTACCTGAAAAATTTATGAGGGTGCAAAATGATACATATTCAAGTTACAGAACAAATTCACTACAGCAGTAAAGCCTCTCATAACTCTGGAGTCTTCTTTCCATTACATAGGGCTGGAAAGGTCCTCCAAGGTCTTTGTTGTCAGCACTGGCTGCTTTTACACTCACACGTCGTGTAAGTCTGTAATGAAATAGTGACTCCTTCCTTCTAAATGTTATTTTAATTAAAGTATTCAGAAACCCAGTGAATGATTTCATAGATTTCAGATTGATGCTTTCTGGTTTCCTAGAATATCTAAACCCACATTGATCACTGTGAGGGTTGCAGCTTGTCACAGATGCTCTAGGCGAAGCTTTGTGGTCACCCTCCTTCAGATGGTGCCTTTGGGTGCAGTGGTGCTGTTCCTGACATCCAGGTCAGCAATGTCGACTTCACCAAGAAGTCTAGTACAGCAAATGTGTTCTCCAGCACTTTGAGATGTTACTTCAGTTAACCACAGATCTCAGAGCTGCTCTATTAGCTCATCTGGAAGGGAGCAGCTTTTAGGAACTCTGATGAGTATTCCAGTGTCACTTCAGCTCACTGAATAATTCACAACAACAATGCACTGTCCACCACAATCCCTTTTTCATCCTTTGCACCTCTGCAGGAAGCCAAACTGTCTTTTGGGCTAGCTGCACTTAATTCAAACACTTCCAAATGCATTCCAGTTCAACCACAGGCAACTCTTCAAGAATTCTGGGGAAGGAGTTTGGAGGAAAAGGTTATTTCAGTTTACTGGGCTTCATGGGACTTTGCATTGCCTGAATTTGGATTGAATGGGGGAAAGTTGCCCTCCTAAGTTAGTATTCAGACTCACTGCAAAATAACATGAAGAAAAAAAGAGCTGAGAGCCAGTGTAATATTTGCAAAGTTCTCCTTTTATTTTCTCCCTGTTTAGGTAAAAATTTCTTTTGTTAGTTCGTTCAATTTAAACATTTCCAAAGTTTAAACAGAAATCTCTCTTGA